ATGGCTGGAAAAGTCCATGGTCTTAGTTTTTATTTTGGAAGTGAAGGGTAAATTAGTGCCATAGAGTGGATTTATTTATTTACTTACTTACTTACTTACTTACTTGAGGCCTGGTGCATGAAATAACTGCATTGGGAATTTCCTGTGTGTGTCCTGTGTATGAAATTCCTGCGTGTGTCCCTCAGCCTGGCCTGCATCCTCTCACAGTCCAGGAACTCTCAGGGGATTTCGGACTGATGGCGTAGGCCTTTGGGGAACGGGCCTAAGCTGTCAGTTGGATATCCTTAGAGCTGCTATGGAGGTGAGAGAGGCTCCTGCCACCACCACTGCGCTCACCCCTGTGAGAGTGCACTGACCACCAGGGTGCAGCTTCTGCGTTGCGTGTCTGCCCCCTCTTGGTCAGTGTGCATTGTAACGACTGGCTGTTCTGCCATTTGGTCCATGTGTGTATTAGTCTTTTATTATATAGGATAATTTGAAAAGATTTAAAATAGATTTTTAGAGAGAGAAAAACATTGACATGGGAGGGAGACATCAATTAGATGCTTCCTGCATTTCCCCAACTGGGAATTGAGCCCAAAACTCTAACTGGGAATCGAACTGGCAATCATTTGGTGCATGAGATGACACCCTATCAATTGAGCCACACCAGCTATGGGAGAGAAGAGAGAGAGAGAGAGAGAGAGAGAGAGAGAGAGAGAGAGAGAGAGAGAGAGAGAGAGAGAGAAACTAAAGAAAACACTGGGGCTGAAACCGGTTTGGCACAGTGTATAGAGTGTCAGCCTGCAGACTGAAGGGTCCCGGGTTCGATTCTGGGCAATGGCATGTACCTTGGTTGTGGGCACATCCCCTGTGGGAGGTGTGCAGGAGGCGGCTGATGGATATTTCTAGCTCTCTATCCCTCTCCCTTCCTCTCTGTAAAAAAATCAATAAAATATATTTAAAAAACACAGAAAACATTGGGGAAAAATACCCAAAACCCAAACAAGTGAAGTTCATCTTGGCAGACTTCTTGCCTGCTAGGTTTCCCTTTGGACCCTGCTCTTATGCTGCCGGAGGCTAATTGTTGTAGGCTGATTTTGGGTCTCGGTGAAGGTACTTTTGTGCCAACCAATATCAGAAGCTGTCCAAGTTTGGCTCTCAGCATCCTGTTCCAAGCTTCAAGTGACCCACAGCTTGTGGCTGCTTTCCGTGGGCTTGCTCTCCCTCGGGAGGAGCAGAGCCGAGCGCCCAGGTTGGCTTTTCATCAGCACAGGGCCCTAAGGCAGGTGGAGGGTGTGTAAGTACCTGCATTGTTTCCCTGTCCTCCACCGGACCCCACCCCACGGAGCCACTCTGAGGGAGGCCAGTTGGGTCTGCTGGAAGCCAGGAAGCGCCAGTCAGGTGCCTGGGATTGTGGGGCATATCTGGGCCCCACAGCCAACCCCTGACACTGCTCCAGACTGCTGCTCCCGGAGGCTGCTGCCGCCTCAGCTGGGTTCGTGGGGCAGAATTGGGCAAACTGGATTCCAGAGCAGTTCTTAAGGTGGGGTCAGCTGGGGTGGGGGTAGGGGACAGGGTATTACCTTTGCCCAGGCTTCAGCTTTGGGAGAGGCTTGTGGCTCTCAGATTATCGGTGGTTGCACAGGCATCCTAGCAGCCATCCTTCCAGTCACTGTCCCCAACTCCCTGCACTCCTGGCTCTCCTCAGGCAGTTCCAGTCCACACCAGCCTCCCTCCGCATAGACCTAGAGGGAGTGGCTGGGAAAGAAGATCCTGGGGGCCAGTCCCTCAAAAACAGTGGCTTTGCCTCCATGGGTTGTTGCAGGGCCGCTCCGCTCTCTGTCCAGCAGAAAGCCTGCCGCTGGTCGCCTCCTGGCAGCTATGGTCCACGCTGGCTGTCCCAGCTGGGGTGCCCTTCCGGGGGCTCCAGCCCTCTCTCTCTGGGGGAACCCTCCTTACCCTTGGCCCATAGGTCCTGAGAGCTTGGCCAGCGCCTCTTGGGATCCCATCCTTCCTACCAGTCTCCGTGTGGTTTCTGTCCTTCCTTGTTTAAAAGTCTCTTCTTTGGAGTGGGGGGAGAGAAGGAGGTAAAAGTTTCTTCTTCAGTCAATCCACAGCTGGCATTTCAGGGTGAATACTCCCCAGTTTTATTCTATTTCCAGTTAGATTCCGGGAGGAGATGGCAGAAAGATCTGCCACTGTCTTCCAACCTCTCCCTCCCTGAAGTTTTGATATGTCATATTGTCATTCTCATTTGTCTCTCCGTTATTATTATTATTTTTTTTAGAATATATTTTTATTGATTTCAGAGAGGAAGGGAGAGGAAGAGACAGATAGAAACATCAATGATGAGAGGGAATATTGATTGGCTGCCTCCTGGATGCCCCCTACTGGGGACTGAGCTCACAACCCGGGCATGTGCCCTTGACCTGAATCGAACCCATGACCCTTGAGTCCTCAGGCCGATGCTCTAACTGGCTAGGGCTCTCTCTATATTTTGATCTCACTTTTTATTTTTTCTTTGACCCAGTTATTTTTCAGTAATATGTTGTTTAATCTCCACATATTTGTGGTGTGTGTGTGTGTGTGGTGTGTGTGTGTTTTACTTCCTTTTTTTGCAGTTGTGTTTTCTAATTTTAAGGCATCGTGGTCAGATAAATTTATACGTGCTTGGTATAAATTTCAATCTTCTTTAATTTTTTTTGAGGCTAGTTTTGTGACCCAACATGTAGTCTATCCTTGAGAATGTTCCAGGTGCACCGGAGAAGGATGTATACTTTTATGTTCTGAAATGAAAGGCTCTGTAAATATCAATGATGTCCATTTGGTCTAGTGTGTCATTAAGGCCGATGTTTCTTTATTGATTTCCTATTTGGATGATCTATGTAGAGCTGTCAATGGAGTATAAAGGTCCTCAATGATTGTGCTTCTATCAGTTTCTTCCTTTAGTTCTTTATATATTTTGGGGCTCCCTGTTGGGTGCATATATATTTAGATATGTTATGTCTTCTTGATGTGGTGTCCCCTTCATAGTTATGAAATGTTCATCTTTGTCTCCTCTTACCGTTATCTAGAAATCTACTTTGTCAGATATAAGTATGGCTACACCTGCTTTTCTATGGATCTTATTTGCATGGAGATACATTTTCTACCCTTTCACTTGGAGTCTGACTTTGTCTTTGCAGCTTAGACGTGTCTCCTGAAGGCAGCTTATGGTTGGGTTCTGTTTTTTGATCCAATCTGCTACTCTGTGCCTCTTTTCTGGTGAATTCGGTCCATTTACATCTAGGGTAATTATTGACATATAAGAATTTTCTATGGCCATTTTATCTTTTGTTTTCTGGTAGCTCTGTTGCCTCCAGTGGTTCTTTTCCTTTGTGTTGCTGTCTCGTGTTTTTGTTTGGTAGTATTCATACTTCTTTCCTCTGTTTCCTCTTTTTTTAAGACTATGTGTCTCCATTTTGGGTTTGTCATTATGGAGTAAAGGGAGGGTTGGCAGATCCACGGGCCCTCCGAAAGCTGCACCCTAGGAACAGCGTCATGGATATGGTGTAAAGGGAGGGATCTGCCAACCCTCCCTTTACTCTATTGGGTTTCTGGCCTAATGTGTGGTTGCCATTAGGCCAGAAAAAAAGAAAGTTTCATATATACACTAGTCCTTTTTCTTTTGTATGCATCTGATATTCATCCTCCTTTGCAAATTCAGACCTTTACTCCTTCCATCTTTATGTTGTCACAAATTATCCGTTTATGCTGTAGGTCTGTTGGTGATCATACCTGTAGTAGTTCTGTGACCTTCTGTTCTTTGTTTCTGGTAGAATAACCCCTTTGAGTACTTCCTGCAATGGAAGGCTTCTGGTGATAAAGTCTCTCAGCTTCAATATGTCTGCAAAAGTATTTATTTCACTTTCATTTTTTTGTAGAGAAACATTTTTTATTTAGGAAACATATCCCAAAACAGATCAGTAAGTAAAATAGATTTCAGCCCTGTGCACAGCTTTACCCTCCCAAAAATAACCCTGGGGGTGAACATTGCCCTTCCCTCCTTGGACTTCTATGATCTAAAATATTTTGGCAGCTCAATGTGTATCATCTGGGTTTGGGGCACCATATCCATGACGCTGTTCCTAAGGTGCAGCAATCAGAGGGCCTGTGGATCTGCCAACCCTCTCTTTACTCCAACTCAGCAAACATTTCTGCCCCACCCTAGAATCTGGGGCTAAAATAAGGAGTAAGAGGACCCCTTCACTGCTCAGCACCTCATTGTGCTTTAAGAAAGAGGGAGGCATCTTATTTGGCACTTTAACAATAGAGTGAGCAGCCCTGACCGGTTTGGCTAAGTGTATAGAGCGTTGGCTTGCAGATTAAAGGGTCCCAGGTTCCATTCTGGTCAGAGGCATGTACCTTGGTTGTAGGCACATCCCCAGTCGGGGGTGTGCAGGAGGCAGTTGATTGATGATTCTCTCATCGATGTTTCTAACTCTCTATCCTTTTCCCTTCCTCTCTGTAAAAATCAATAAAATATACTTAAGAGTAAGCAGAACTAGAGAAGACAGAAAAGGTACCAAAACTGGCAGGAAGAGGCCACTTGGCACTCGTGTCTTGGGAGAAGGGAAGAGGGAGATAGATATTAGAACAGGAGCCAAGAAAATTAGGAGGGATCCACTCCAAATGACAGAGGGATGAGATGGACTAGAAACAAGATTACTGTTGACTCTGGGCCTGTGTCCTCTCTACTTCCATTCCAAAGCATCTGGGTACCGTACCCAACTTTAGCCTCCCTAGTGTCAGCTTGTGCCTGTGGAGTGTCTTCCCTAACACTAATGCCTTGTCCCCTGAGCCTGAAGATCAGGCTCTTGTCTACCCACTTCTTTCCTGTTGGTCAAATTGTCCCAAAGTCTCCATTCCACCTCTCAGAGAACTCTTTGGTCCTCAATACTTCCCTTCCCCATTCCTGATGAGGGGAGGTGGGTCAAGGGCACCTGGTCCCCAATCTTCTCTGCCCCTCTTGGAGCCCCCTAGACTTGGATGAAGAGTAGGCCAGTCAGTAGGGCAAAGCAGGATAGAAGCAGAACGACCTTGAGGATCTTCTGCTCAGAAGTGGCCAGCTCCTGGGACAGGATTTCCAAGAAGGTGATACAGAGAAAGGTGCCAGCTGCCCTGCCCTCCAGTGCAGACTGGGCCAGCTGGTGCCGTGGGCCAGCTGACTCTGCCAGAGCTGCACCCAGCCCAGTGCCCAGGGGTGTCGTGCATGAGAAGAGAACGTCGCAGCCAGTCACCACCTTTGCGCACAGGTGACTCTGCAGCAACCTCAAGGACAGACAAGCTGACGGCCACATACCCTCATGGAGCAGCAAAGCCAGTCACAGCTCTATGGCCCCAGCCCGGTCGCTGCAGTCCCACTGCCAGCCCCTCGAACTCTGAGGGCAGAGCCAGGGAGGAGGCCACGCAGGACTGAGGGAGCTGCCAGCGCTCTGCTTGTCTGTGGGAGGCTTTGCACCTGCCAGTGCTGTTCCCAGCAGCACCCTTGGTGTCACTGACTGCTCCTTGTGAGACAGCATGATCTGCTCCATCACCAGGACCAGGATGAATCCCACGACCAGGATAAACTCTTGTAGGGGAACTGGAGCATCATGTGCAGGGCTGCCAGGGCCCATCTATGGCAGATAGGTAGTCAGGTTCCGGAGACAGGTGGCCAGACTCCCCCCTCCCCCCCCCCCCACCGCCCCAAGCGAAGCAGCTTACAAGGCTCAGTCAGGGCTTTCTGGAGAAAGGCTGAGGCTTCCAGGTTAGCTCAGGCTGGTGAGGGACATGGATGGGCACCAGACTGCAGATGAGCAGGAGCACCAGCAGGAGCTCCAAGGCCTCCACCTTCACCTCCAGGCCCATGGGCACCAGTGGATCCGAGGCCACAGCCTCTGGGCGCCACACTAGGAGCTCCGGTTCTCCCAGGGCCCCATGGTGGCTGTGGGTGCTCCAGTGACTCTCGGACCTCACAAGGGTCTCACTGCATGGCACCTGCTCGGTTCCAGCCTCCAGTCGGTCCTCACTTTCGTTTTTAATGGATTACTTTGCTGGACAGATCATCCTTGGCTGGTAACTTCTCTTAATAGTTTGAATATTTGGCTTGTAGAGTTTCTACTGAGAAATCCAATGTAACCAAATGGGCTTTCCTTTATAGATTACTTTCTTCTTTTCCTTGGATGCCTTGAGAATTTTTTCTTGGTCATTATTTTTTTTATTGTTTAAAATATTACAAATAGTAGTACATATGTATCCTTCTCTCCCCACCCCTCCCCCATTAACCTTCCCCCAGCCTCCCCTGGTCATTAGTTTTTGATCATCTTAATACCATATGCCTTAGAGAAGGCCTCTTTGATTGAGGTAACTAGGTATTCTGCTTGTTACAGCCAGGCTCTTTTGCTGATTCTTCCGTGGGCACACACAATACTCTACTTTTTACCTTGCTTCCAAATGCTCTCGTACTTCTCACCTGTTCAAGATCCTAACCATACTTTAAAGCTCAGGGGGGAAAAAAAGGGTATTTTCCCCTCAGGAAGTCTTCTCTGAGGCTGGGATCATTTCACCTAATTCTGAATCTCTGTAGAATTTATGGTGCTTGATATAATACTATTTTACATTTGTTAGTCAACTTTCATTATACATGTTATAATTTGTCAATAAAGTCCTAAGTTATATATATACATATACACATATACACATATACACATATACACATACACACACATATATATACATATATACATATATACATATATGCATATATGCATATACATTTGTGCACTCAGCAGTGAAGGGGGGGGTTGGCGGGAGGGGAGCTCCTCAGCCTGGCCTGTGCCTTCTTGCAGTTCGGGATCCCTGGAGGATGTCCAACTGACGGCTTATTGGACATCCTTAGCGCTGCTGCATTTGCCAACCTGAGCCCGGCTTCTGGCTGAGCGATGCTCCCCCTAGGGGAGCACACTGACCACCAGGGGGCAGCTCCTGCATTGAACACCTTTCCCCTGGTGGCCAGTGCACATATAGCGCCCAGCCATTCTGCTGTTTGGTTGATTTGCATATTAGCCTTTTTTGGTGTTTTTTTTAATTTTTTAATTTTTTTTAAATAAGTTTTTATTGTTCATATTATTACAAATGTTCCTTTCCCCCCCACACCATTGCTCTCCTCCACCAGGTTCTCACCCCACCCTCTGCCCTTTCCCCACTCCCCATTGTCCTCATCCATAGGTGCACACTTAATGTTCAGTCTCTTCCCACATCTCCCTCTCCCCTTTTCCCCAAGAATCGTCAGTTCACTCCCATTCCATACCTCTGATTCTATTATATTCAACAGTTAATATTGTTCATCAGATTTTTTTTTTAATTTCCTTGGTTTTTAGATTCACTTGTTGATAGTTATGTATTTGTTGTTCATAATTTTTATCTTTATTTACGTTCTCTTCTGAAAGAACCCCCTTCAGCAATTCATATAATTCTAGTTTGGTGTTGATGAACTCCTTTAGCTTTTTTTTTTATTAGTGAAGCTCTTTATCTGACCTTCGATTCTGAGTGATAGCTTTGCTGGATAGATTATCTTTGGCTGTAGGTTCTTACTATTCATCACCTTGAATATTTCTTGCCATTTCCGTCTGGCCTGCATGGTTTCTGTTGAGAAGTCAGCTGACAATCCGTATAGGTGCTCCTTTATAGGTAACTACCTTCTTTGCTCTTGCTGTTTTTAATATTCTCTCTTTGTCTTTTGTTCTTGGAATTTTAATTATGATCTGTCTTGGTGTGGTCCTCTTTGGATTCCTTTTGTTTGGAGTTCTGTGCGCTTCCTGGACTTGTAAGTCTAATTCTTTCACCAGGTGAGGGAAGTTTTCTGTCACTATTTCTTTCAGTATGTTTTCGATATCTTGCTCTCTCTCATCTTCTGGGACCCCCATAATTCTGATGTTGGTTTGCTTGAAGTTGTCCCAGAGGTTTCTTACATTATCTTCAATTTTCTGTATTCTCTTGCCTTCTAGCTTCTGTGGAGGAGTGTATTCTGGCTCTTTATGTTCCAAATCTTTGACTTGATTCTTGCGATCTTCCACTCTGTTTTTAGGACTCTGTATAATATTTTTTATTTCAGACAATGTATTCTTTATTTCTTGTTGATCCCTTATCATTTCTTGTTGACTCCTTATTAATTCTAGTTGATCTCTTTTCATATCTTCATAGGTCTTATCCATCTTTTCTAGGAAATTCTTGAAAAACCTTATAAGTGTAGATTTGAACTTTAAATCCAGACACTTTTTGTCCTCCATTTCTTTTGTTTGTGATCTATTTCGTTGTCGCATTTCACAGTTACAGATGGGGCGGGATTTCAGGGTGGAGCCTACAGCCTTGGCTTCGTCAGCTCCGCCCTATGCGGGTCCTTCAATACTCACTGCAAAGCGCCTCTGAGAGATAGGTGCCCTTGATTTTCGCCTGCTGCCAAACAGTCTATGCTCTCCCCCAATGAGCCCAGTATTGGGGTTCAGTTCAGTTGGAAGTGGAGTTGGAGGTGGCATTCAGAGCAGACTGGAGCCCCTGTCTCCTTCCCGCCAGGGCAATCCCGCGGCACAGCCGGCCGTCCCTTCTCTGCGCGCAATGTGCGTGCTGCTGGGACCTCCTTTCCCTGCTTCCCTGGGGTTCCGCCTTACAGCCCAGCTCCCTATGGATGATCCTGGGTCCCCGGGGTCTGGCCTAGAACTGGGGTTTAGAGCAGTCAGAACTGGGGCCCAACATAGTCGGAGTTTTATCTCCTTCCCGCTAGGGAATGCCAGCCAGGCACTCGGCCTCACTCCTCTCCGGCTCCGTCCTCTCCGCGCACGCGCTGCGTGTCTCCGTACCTTGTGCTTTTACAGCTCCTCTGCACTTCCTTCTGGTTTTCTCCTTGATTCTCGTTGTAGAATTTCCAGTCAGTCGACTTTCCTGTAGTTCTGGGCAATGTCCATTTTATATTTTAGTTGTATTTTATTGAAAATGTTGTGTGCGACTGCGGTTAGGTGTTTACCTGGGCGCAGCCATCTTGGATCCCCCTGCATATTAGCCTTTTATTATATAGGATATATGCACACTAATGTCTTGAGCCTAAGCACTGCATACATTAAACCAAAAATTGGGACATATCGTCTTTGAAAATATATACTTATATAGAGAGAATACTGCTATTTGAATTTGGGACACTCATAACTTGTAGAAATCCATTCAAATTGCAAACTTTATAAGTCTTTTGTTGATGCATTTAAGTTTGTTTTCTAACAATTGAGTTTTGCAGGACAGTCAATGTGATGTTACTTGACATATATAAGTTAAAAGATTAACTTTAAAAAATGTTTTTATTGATTTTAGAGAGAGAAAGGAAGGGAGAGAGAGAGAGAGAGAGAGAGAGAGAGAGAGAGAGAGAGATTAATGACAGATAAACACCATTCGGCTGCCTCCTGCTGCCTCCATACAGGAGATCAAGCCTGAAACCTGTGCATATGCCCTGACTGGGAATTGAACTGGCAACCTCTCTGTGCATGGGATGATGCTCACCCAACTGAGCCACACTGGTCAGGACAAGTTCAACTGTTTTATTAATTTTACTTTATCTGATAATGAGAAAACAAGTAAATTGAAGCACGAAAATAAAATATATTAAATCTAAAAATATTCCTAGCTGATTTATTTTGACAAGTGTTTAAATTATTTAGCTGTTCTGAATTTATTTGATTTTAATTATTTATCACAATACACTGTAGTGCATTAGTGAATGTCTTGAAAAGTGTTTTGTAAAAGTGGGCAGCATCTTAGTAATAATAGCACTATAACTCTGCCATTTAATTTTTGCTGACAAGTGGGTTAAGCTTGTGAGGATACTCATAAGAAACGTCAGGGGACAGTCCCTATGCAATTGAGACAGGATGGCACTGTAGTTGCCTTTTCAATTCTTTCTGCTACTATAGCTTTTCAATACTTTTAAAAACTGTCAGCAGTTCAATAAGACTTTTAGTTCTTTCTTGATCTTAAAATATCATCTTTACATGCACTCAGTGCTATATGCACAAATTTCTCAAGTGCTTACCTCCTTACTTTTCAAAAGCAGTACTTTTAAATGATGTTCCATTACCTCCTAAATGTTCAAACCTCTTCTTCTTCTCCTTCTCCTTCTCCTTCTCCTTCTCCTTCTCCTTCTCCTCCCCCCCTCCTCCTCCTCTTCCTCCTCCTCTTCCTCCTCCTCCTCCTCCTCCTCCTCCTCTTCCTCCTCCTCTTCCTCCTCCTCCTCCTCCTCCTCCTCCTCCTCTTCCTCATCCTCCTCCTCCTCTTCCTC